CATTTTTTCTCAAGGCTCCCACATTCACCTTCTCTCTCAACCCCTTACACCAAAACATTTGTTTCCCACATGCTACACCACAGACCTACCAACAGTCCTCAACACCTACCTGCAGTCCTCAAAGATCTATCAAGACCACACATTTCTGTGCATTGCTTCCCAAGCCCCTGCATTATCCAGCAGATCTCCTCCCCATGCCCCTTCCCCATGACAGACTTACTTGCTGGGGGGAGGGGTACATGTATGTGTGCATTTGCGCATGCACTCAGCCCCGCCAAATCATACTTTCTTCCTCTGCCTATGGTCACTGTTCTACGTACTGTATACAGTGGAACCTGAATACCTCACGTGTAACAACCCTTCACCACCACCACCACCCCATCAAAATATGGCAATAGAAGGGCCATAGCAAGTAGCTGGGTGGATCTGTTGTGATGCTCCAGTTATTTGCTGTAGCTTTTACTTCTCCAGTTAGAAGAAGCAGTATCCTTCAAAGGAAAAATCACAGGAAACAGCTAAGTGAGCAATCCTTAACTTGGGAACCTGCTGCAAATGAAGTGAGTTTGCATAACAGAGATATGAATGATCCAGGTTCTACCGTATACACAAAACAAGAGGTTGACCTTGCTGTGTAGGGCTAAAAATCTAAACAGATGAGACAAAGAGGGGGAGAAAGGAAGTATTATCATTCCTGTTTTCCTCACAGGAAAATGAAGCACACTTCAGTGCAGTGACATGGGAAGTTGTGGCAGGTACATTTATCCATTGCTTTTAATCAGAAGACTACCTTTCTGCTATACAATGGACCACAGCATGATATCTTATGCCTGGAGAAACAAGGGCTGCTTTCAAAGCTATTTTTCTAACTATGATGTGGTACAAACATTCAATAAAGTACTCTAACCTAAAGCACTTTTGTCTGATACCACATCCATCCAGGGTTAACTTGGAGTGGAATCCACCATTTTTAAAGCATTCAACATCTCTTTGGTTATGATTTTAGAGTGCTTTCTAAATCCTTAATGCCTGATAAGTAATGTTTCTGTAGGTTGTGATTTAACTTTTCAGAGTAGTCACCTTTCTCCCCAAGCACATAGCACACATGCTCCCTACATGGGAGAAAATTGTTTTACAATGATTTTGGATGTGGCAAAATCCCTGACCAGAAACTGACACAAAAATTTGGAGTCAGATTTTATGCCTATTAAATGTTTACTTGGACTTATGTACCTGCATGTTATTTGATTCCATCTTGTTCAAGTTCCTGAAAAACCATCAATGTGTTTGCCCTTTTTCATACATCATCAGCTTACCCTCAAAACTGAATCACACAAAGCAGGATGGGGGAGAGGTCCCACCAGGGTTGCCAACCTTTCATAAATTTATGGACAGTTTGTAAAAAAACAAAGCAAAAAACACTCATCCATAAAGTCCATAAAAATTAGTCTGTCTATAAAAAAATAAGAACAGTGAGCTTGATTGAGGCCAAATACAAGTGTGGATAGATATAGCAGATCAGTGCTAGTTTGTGTCTGAGTAGAAGCACAGCTCAGTGATCTGGAGGGAGCTCTTTATCTGGGCATTGTGGTCTATGAGAACCACTATAGCCTTCACCTTCCATGCCTCATGCTGCTCCTGCATCACATCACCTACCTACAATGGCTGCTTGCCTGGAAAGCAGTCAAGGCAACAAGGCCCCAGGAAACATGAGGTACTGTGTGAGACAGGGAGGGGTTTTTGCTGTCAAGGCAGGGATGTGGGGCCAGAAGTGATGAGAGGTAGCAGATGGAGGTCTATACCAGGATGGGGGGATCAGGGACAACAGGGGTCAGGTTGAGAGGTGGGTTGTGGTGGAAACAACACAATGAGGGGTGAGCTTGGAAGTCAGTAGTGAATAGGGATCCCTAGAGTGGGGCAGCATGGTGTAAAACCATTGCTGCTTTCACAAAAGTCTTTAATCTGGATGGGATCTTGTGCTAGATTTAAAACCTTGGTGTTACACCCCTAAATTTGAATCCTGCCCTTGTTACTGCCATGCAGGGCCTGGTGGATGGGTTACATTTATATTATATTAAACATATGTCAGTAAAAACATGTCCACAACAAAGTTTGGTTGCCAGTTAAAAGTTTGCAGACTCTGACCCATGAGCCCCCATGGCTCCGAGCTGGCCCAGGTAGTCTGCTGCCTAGCCAGCCACCGGTCATGTGCACCAGGGCTGGGCTGTGCTGCACTCACTGACAGGTCTCAGCATCCTCACCACTGAGCTGGCCCCACCGTGCAGCTGCCTCGGCCGGAGCTGAGCAAGCCTGGCCTGAGTCATGGGGGTGAGGCCATTCCCTGGGTCTGCAGCTCAGTTACAACCACTCCCTGCACCTCAGCTGCCATGGGCCAGGCCAGGCAGCTCTTCACAGAGCCCCACCCTACACCAAACAGAACCCCCTCCCCACCCTGCGGCGGTGGGGGAGAGGGGGAAGGGGGAAGAGTTCCTCTCTAGGGATGGGCAGTGCTGTGTGCTGGGATTGCTCCTGGCTGTCAGGGAGCTGCTGGGGCAAACAGAGCTCTCCCCTCCTCCTCTTCCCCCACCACAGCAGTCTGGCCACACTCCCTCTCCCCCCACTCTCTGAACCCTGCAGGCCAAGGTTTGGGTTTAAACCCCTCCTCAGTCTTAATCAGGCCTGCTGGAGCCTGGCTATGCCCATGTCTCCTCAGGTCAACTTCTCTGTGGAAGGGAGGGCTGCTCTAGTGCCCCCAGGCTTCTGGCCTGAGCCACTGCAGGCATGTGCCTGCATTTCCAAAATGAAAAGGGAACGTTTATCCACTTGCAAACTGG